TCCCCATTAGCCTCCACTATTTATTGGAGTGCACTTTTATGAATGTATATTCCTATGACTGAAGAGGTCTTGACGAAAAAGAAAAATTTATTGTTTGCTGAAGGTCAAAAAGGTGATGTGAGTAGCTTCCGCCTGCTGGCTACAAGGTAGATTGCCATGTTCGATCAGTTTCCATGCATCAATCGACTAACCAGGCAATTAATTGCACCGTTGAGGGATCCGACCCGAGAGCCCGATGAAAGAGAGGTAGTGAGCCATCTCGATATGCCATCGACAGCTTAATTGCATATCGTCTCGATTCGTCTTCCTTCCTCATATTAACCCCAAGACCAATCGTCAGATTGTTACGGCTAAAAAAAAAAAAGCATGTGTATAGTCGTAACATCTGACGGATGCCTCTCCTGATGAACCAAGAAATGAGGACTTGATAGAGGAAAAAGGCTATTGGAGGGGAAAAAATTGGGTCAATCCCTCATTCGCTAATTTTAGGAAATTGATGAAGGTATGAATAAAATATAAAACAAATTATTCATAAAAATCCACAAGACTGGAGAAATCCCTAGTAGACTGTAAGGGTAATGAGGCGTAATTCTTCTGGCGTTTATCATCCTCATTTTTTTTTCCTTCTATTTCTTCAGGATGAGTTGACGGCCATGATGATATCTAGGTGATATATCTAGAGCATCTAATCGGAAATATGAGTAATGGCCATTGTCATAGTCTCATTCGAGGACACTTGATTAGGAATCAACGACAGTGAAATACATAAGCCATGTCCTAACAATTTCTCCTGTGTTTGCACTTTTTGACGATGCACGACCCGTCCGAGATCCACACAAAGCGATACACCAACTCTTCGTGATAGCTATGTTTGCATACGTATACTCAACCCCCGTTGCGTGTTTCCATTTTTCGTTTTTTTTTCTTTCCTTTTTTTCATTCAATTTTCAGGTGAAAAGTTTTAGATGTTTGAACACAAGAAATTCTTGAAAGAGTGGTTATCCGGAATTAGGTGACGGTTTAAAATGCTTTTCCATTTTCAACACCACCCCGAACCACTCTACCATCCAATCATTTTTAACATTTTTCTATCTCGAATATAAATAATTACTTGACACCGGTACCAATTAAAAATGTACAGTATGATAATAATTGCAGATTAATTAAAAAAATGCGGATCCGTTCGAAACCCGTGGTGCTGGTGGGATACATTTTCTAAATTACAACAAATTTGGAGAAGTCTTACAAATATTCTGAAGACTAGAGAAATTCCACGGCAAAATAAAAAAATGACATTCATTGAATACACCAATTCAATTTACACCAATTACCGAAAAAATGCTGACTCATATGTATAAGTCGGTAAAAAATTTTGTCAACCTTGAATTGGATAAATACTAAGTATGTAAAATATGCGGTTGTTTCTTGTTAATTAATTTTATGACCAAGTTAAATCCTAATTAAGTTCTCGTGTTGCGATCAATTCTCGGCGACAAACACACACGAATCGTGTGATGCGTAATGATCAAGAGTGATCCGAATAACATATACCGGGGACTCCCATCACCTGCCTCAATTCCGTTTTCACTTCTTTTTTTTTTTCAGAGCCACCGAAGCGTCAGAATCGAGAGCTGCCTGTACCAAACTATCAATTACACTTTCCCCGAATTAACGAATAATTTTCATCTCCCGCGTTCTTTTTCAAATTTGAAAAAAAAAATCGTCCGTCCGACAGAATTCCAAAAAGCTCAGAACGCATTCTTCCTCTAAGAATAAAAGCGTGAATCGAAATCCGCCACTGGCATATTATTATTATTACTCCTATTATCATTGTTTCGCCTAGATTATGATAATTCTGAACCTATACTTATATGTATATAAATATATAAATAAATAACACATATAAAATACATTGGTGACAGATTTTGTTTCACGATTGTTGCTGAGAGGACTCTATACGTATCAAAAATATAAATACACTATATTTACATTGATATATATATGTAAAATATATATATATTTAAAAATCGCCTCACCTACCCAAAAAAAAATCTCCACATTCTTTGTGTCTGTTTATCATTGGATTATCATGTTCGAGATTGACGTACTATTTCATAGATCCAGAAAAATAAATATTCATTTTCTTCTAAAAGAAAAGTCATGTTTCTTTTTAAGAAAATATGTTGCATGATTTTTCAGTTAATCTGTCACCTCAGTAACGAGTAATACGTGAGGTTTCCTAGTATGGTGAGAAATATAGTAGAATATTCTGAGAAATCGTTCTAGTAGTCGAGTGGCAATTACCAACTCGCCCCTACATTATCTATCATCGCACAATATCATTCGTCGTCATTATTAATTCATTCCCTTCATCGTCAAATCTCCCGAGAGTCCAATTGACGAGTGGAGGATAGAAAAAGAATTTGAAAAAAAAATATAATTAAAGCGATGGTGCAGTGAAAACAATGAAATAGTAATGGCAATAAAAAATTACAGGCATCTTTTAATAACGTAATAGTGTGTTTGGACAGCCGCCGACATTATAGAGCTGAAATGGCGGGAAAGGGATAACTTTGCTGGTCATGTTTGAATTAATTGCTGAGAAATGTTATCTCCGGGGATTTCGTTATCGTCACAATTCTTTTATGGAACGTTTCACCTCATCCTCAAGCTGGAATTATTTTTGATGAATTTTTATAGAAATAACTAGAAGAGGGAAATTTGAATTGTTCAAGAAATTTTTGGGTCTCTCACCAAAAAGCATGAAAAAATAATGTAATTATTTTGGGAACTGTAAAATCTAAGGAGGGTTTCCTGAATTATTATGTTCAAGAATTTTTATGAAACATTCCGCAAATTTTATGTGTTTTTAGGATAATGTTTATTGAACTTTTTTCCTCTGTGCATCTCTGATCCAGCGAATTCATCCGTCAATGGGAGGGGTCTCTCTATTATTTTGTTTCAATGTTTCCAAATTTACTTGAGGGGAGTCTGAGGTAATATGGATAGGTTTTTATTTAAATTGGTGTAGTAACAATTTTGTAGTGGAGTGATAAACTAGGATGAGTTCTCAAGTGAAAACTTGTGAAAACTCCCACTTCACCTTTGCAGCTTGAGATTTTCAAATATTCCAACTTGATAGCCGAAAAAATCGAACACTTCGGAAGTCTCAAGTGGCAACTTGACTGTCTTAACTAAAAAATTCGAGTTCTTCTATTTTTCAGAATTAAACTTTTTTCGATATTGATAATGCTGAAGTCTTTCAAAACTAGAAAATAACGGTAATGCGTTCAATTTTTCTCTAATTCAAAATAGTGGACGGTAAATGTTAGTGTATGTAGTAATTTTGTAGAATTGAGATGCTGATGTACCCCATTTTTGTTTCGTGTTTTTGTATACTGGGGCAACAGAAGAACACCA